CCCGAGACGGCTTCGGTCCCCGCCGGGGCATCGCTCCCGACCTCCTTTCTCGGGCTGATCTTGGACGTGGCTGAAAGCGCAGCGGGGGCTTTCAGGGAGCTGCCAAGATCTCCAAGTGGGGAAGCTCCACCTCTCTCCAACGCGGACCTCAAGGCTGTTCTTGAGATTCCCCAGCGCTTTTTGTATCCTCCAAAAAGAGAGGAGACCCCCTTGTCTCCTTGCCTTATGGGGGAGGGGCGCTTGAGAATTTTGATTCGGTTTTTTTTTTAAGAGGGGATGTGACAGAATAACAGAGTTGGAAGGGACCTTGGAGGTCTTCTAGTCCAACCTCCTGCTCAGGCAGGAAATCCATTTCAGACATAATGGCTGTCCAGTCTCGTCTTGAAAACTTCCAGTGTTAGAGCACCCACAACTTCTGGAGGCAAGTTGTTACACTGATTAATTGTTTTAATTAGGACATTTCTCCTCAGTTCTAGGTTGCTTCTCTCCTTGATTCATTTCCACCCGTTGCTTCTTGTCCTGCTCTCAGGTCCTTTGGAGAATATCTTGACTCTCACTTCTTTGTGGCAGCCCCTCAGATATTGGAACACTGCTATCATGTCACCCCTAGTCCTTCTTTTCATTAAACTAGATATACCCAGTTCCAGCAACCGTTCTTCATATGTTTGAACCTCCAGTCCCCCTAATCATCTTTGTTGCTCTTCTCTGTACCCAATGTCTTTTTTACATCATGGCGACCAAAACTGGATGCAGTGTATTCCAAGTGTGGTCTTACCAAGGATTCTGCTACTATCTCTTCAAAGAGAAGGAATCAAGGTGGCAGGGGGGCCAACAATGAACTTGTCTTTTTGAGATGTGTGTCAACCATGGGCACATGTAAAAAAAAAAAAAAAAAAGAGGGAGAGCCTTGGTTGCACTGTTCTGAACATCAGCTTGACTGTTGTTTTTTCCATGGACCTTTCTGTGGTATCTCTCTTCTGATGTCTCCCTGGCAATTCATTCTTCCCAATCTGAAAAAGGCTCACAGGGCAGGAGGCCCTCATAATGATGTCTTCTTTGAGATTTAATGACAGCTTTGGAAGTCAAGCTGATGGCTCCAGAAGTTCCATAAAGACAGCAGGAGGATGAAAAAGCAGGAGGATGAAAAATATTTCTTGCCCCTCCTCCTTGCACTAAAGCAAAAGCACCTTGCTCCATCCATGAGAATTTCATTAGAGATCCTTTGTGCTTCCAGAGATAACACAAATGCAAATTTTTCTTACATCGCTTTGAAAGAGAACCATGAGAGAACAGATCAAGGTAATTCTGATTATTATCGTTGCTCTTTCTCAGGAGGCTGTTTCAAGGCCAGCTATATGACTCACTAGTTTTAAGCATCAAGTCATCATTAAAGTGTCAAGCCTGTTCAGTTTCCTGGAGCAATCTCCCATGATTTAAATTTCATGGATCTCGGTTTTGAGCTAATTGTTCTAAGATGCAGGCTAGTCATACAAAGCATTTATTTTCAACTGAATTCTACCCAGACAATGTCACCAGAATCTAATACCATTCATGCAACATGCTAAATGATTGTTTAATTAACACTGGTTTACTGAATAAATCATGATTGACTGGGCTCACTCAATATGCTATAATATAACTGACAGTTGGCTAGATTCATTAAACATTCCTTCCAAAACCCAAGAAATCACATTATAGCTGTAGTTGTGTGTTCACTGAACCGGATCATAATCTATGTATGCAACATGGACAGATTACCAGACAAGGTGTTTATAATGTAAAAATAAGGAACAAAATGAATATGGACAAAGGCCTTAACACAAACAGAACTTTCACTTCCTTATAACGTCACAAATTTATTGAAATTCTCATGAATTTAAATTTAATTTAAATAAATATTATTTTTTAGAAATTAATTTCTGAGATCTAATTACACTCTTATGGTCTGAGTTCAGTAGGCTGCTCCCAAGTAAGGAAGCATAAACAGAACCATCTCCCTATCTTATTCTATTCTTTTATTTTCTCATATTACAAGACATGACTGATGCCTTTACTATTTGCAATTTTATTCACAACACAGTTAAAACCTGCAGAAATGTCTCCTTCTTGGAAGATCCTGGCTGAGCTTCTGCCCAAGTTTGAAATGATGACTAGGGCTCTTTTGCACTTCTTGGAGACTTAATTATATAGGAGAACTCCCAGTCATGACTGGATGAACAACTTTTAATCTTACAGTGAAATAAGTTTAGGAGAGTTTCTCCAGGTTCGCAAAACACTTTTAAACATTCAGACTTCCATACATGTCACAGGATGAGTGGGGTCATCAACTTGGAAAATCATGACTAAAACAAACTATGGTTTAAGGCAATATTGGAAACTGCGTACACTGACTGTGCTTGTTAATGGGAAATTGTTTGTCAAGATGTCTACGGAGATTCTCAGTCATCCAGGTGCTTTTTCAAGAAGCAACTGGACTTTCTGGTTTTTCTTTGAAGACGTTTTGCTTCTCATCCAAGAAGCTTCTTCAGCTCCTTGGATGAGAAGAAGAGCTGAAGAAGCTTTTTGGATGAGAAGTGAAATGTCTTCAAAGAAAAACCAGAAAGTCCAGTTGCCTCTTCAAAAACCACCTTTGGGATGATTGTCAAGGTGGTACTTTGATGTGATATATACATTGTGGGAGCAGATTGATGATTTGTTAATCTTTTAAACATTGTGGGAGCAGATTGATGATTTGTTAATCTTTTAAACATAATTCCCAAGGGGGAACCTTACAGCCTTCCAACCTTACATTGGAAAGGCAGTTTTATCTCTTTATCACTCATGTGTCTCTAATAAATAGTACAGAGGACTACATTGGACTAAAGCAACAGATCTCCCACCCCACACATGACAGATTTTTAGAAAGTTGTGTATGCTCTCAATATCCCCAGTCAGTGATCTATCTACACCCATGATATTTGAAACTGAGTTTGATCGCTACCTTGTAATTATTTTGCAATTAATTTTTCTTTTTATTTACTTGGTTTTTTAATGTTCTTTATTTTGCGAACCATCCAGAGTCAATTGGAGTTGGCATTAAAATAACCATAAAATGAATATGCATCTGGTTACTCAGGAATGACACCACTGGTGGGATTCAAATATTTTTTCTACTGGTTCTGTGGGCGTGGCTTAGTGGGTGTGGTGTGGCTTGGTGGGCATGGCTTGGTGGGCATGGCAGAGAAAGGATACTGCAAAATCCCATTCCCTCCCCAAACAAATAACCAAACAAATAAATAAAATAAATGTTTATAGCAAACTTGGAAAAGTTAAGCCTGTCTTGGATTGATCATGTAATTGGTCCATCTGCAAATTAGCCTCAAACAGGTAAAATTCCCCAATAGAATCACTTCAGTTAATAAGACTCCTTGTCTTTTTAAATTCCAAAAACCAACAGTCACAAAAATAATTACGGATGCAAGTTTGTACTGTAACTGAGAAGAAAACAAAAGTAAAAGCAAATCAGGTGTTGTTTTCTTTTCCTAAGAAAGATATATTTTGGGTGCTGTAGGGACAAGCCTCTGCAAACTCCAAACTTATTTATTTTGCTGGAATTGGGCCTTGTGTCTCCCCACCCCTCCACCCCACCCCGTAACAGCCTTCCCTATGTTTCAGTCAGAGAAAGAATACATTCTGTCCCACTTTCTTTCTTTGAGACCACTTGAACTTCCCAATTGCAGCCTTAATAATTGCCTTCCCTGCAGTGACAGCAAGTTATGGTCCAGTGGTGGGATTCAAAAAAAATTACTACCAGTTTTGTGGTTGTGGCTTGGTGGGCATGGCGTGGCGTGGTGTGGCGTGGCTTGGTGGGCATGGCTGAGTAAAATCCCCATTCCCTCCCCACTCCTGGGGAAGGTTACTGCAAAATCTCCATTCCCACCCCACCCCACTAATCTGCTTTCCAACTCCATTCTCCTGTGCAGGGCAACAAAAGAAGACCCAGCTGATCAGCTGGGACTTGGGAGGCAGAAAATAGATGGGGGCAGGGCTAGTCAGAGGTGGTATTTGCCGGTTCTCTGAACTACTCAAAATTTCCGCTACCGGTTCTCCAGAACTGGTCAGAACCTGCTGAATACCACCTCTGACCCAGAGTCAATTGGAGTTGGCGTTAAAATAACCATGAAATGAATATGCATTTGGTTACTCAGGAGTGACACCAAGAAATGGTCTCTTTCATTAAGCAGCTCAAAGAAAAAGGAAATCTGCCCTCCATCCATGACAGGTAGTAAATTGTGATGTAAAAATGAGACTATCTGATGGACTTCTTTTTCTACATTGTAGCTGAAAGGAAATCATCCTGACTTAGAAAAGGAGAAGAGCAACTGCTATAATTCAGGATTTCTCAATCTTGGAAACTTTAAAATGGGTGGACTTCAACTCCCAGAATTCCCCCGTCGGCATGCTGCCTGGGGAATTCTGGGAGTTGAAGTCCACCCATTTTAAAGTTCTGAAAGTTAAGAAACACTACTGTAGTAAATGAGAGGAAAAAAATTTCAGTGAACCACACAGAAGAAAGAAAGAAAGAAAGAAAGAAAGAAAGAAAGAAAGAAAGAAAG